AACTTGATCTTGATCGGTAACTAGAATCTGAATCGCGATAATCCCGTGTAAATTGTCCCCCTAAAAACGCGGTGAACTCGTAAAGGCGAGGAATCGTTATTTGTCGGAAATGTTTGAATAACCGGTACTCGACAGAATTCGACTCTCAGGTACAACGTTCAAACAGATCGAAAAAAGTCCTATCCTTAATAATATTCAAAGCAAACACTCGTCGACTTCCACGAAAAGATGTCCGACTTGGTCGAACTCGCGTAGGTGCTACCTACGTTCTAATTTGCGGTAGGTCGCGGAATCCACTTTCATCCCGTACCAACTAATCTGAAAGTGAACGTGGAATGAAAAAAAAAAATCGCGTATCAGATTGCGGGAATCTCCATGCCGGCTTCTGTTATGAGAGGAACGTGAGCGGCTTGAACAATCGTTCGTGGATTCGAACTGAGAACTGGTTCCGCCAATCGTCGAGTTTTAATATTAGGGACTTCACCAAATGAGAATAAACGATTCCTCCTACCGCGTCAACACAATGAGGTCCGTTCGACTTTGTGCAAAGGTCGGGAAGAGATGTTATACCTACCTCGTTTCGTTCTTCAAACCTTGAGGAGGACAGTAAGATAAATCAAACGCAGATCCTTTGTCGTCGAGTTTCTTTTTTCCGAACATTTTACGTCTGCTACAGTTGTCGTATGTACATGTTTATCTTAATAATGTTCGCCCACCAAATTTGATTTGTTTTCTTTTTTCAGAAGTCGAAGCGAAAGAGTTGCGTGAAGAAATTACGTTTAATACGCTATATGTAGTCATGAATCGTGAGCGCCGTTGAAGTCCCGTGATTAACGACTGGTGACTTGAATGCGCGCACAAGGCACGACACACTCCCGGGACGAATGCAGCAAGCGCTCCTCCAGCTGTATTTATGTTATTTTGTTAAGTCAATTTGCATCGTTTGGCCCTGCGTGCCGTTTCGCCGGAAGGTAGAGTAAAGAAAATGCGATAATACGGTGGGTTTACTGTGCGATTATCTGTCATAATCCATCAAAAGCGGCGTAAACGAAGTTAATGACTGTCGAATAAAATCTGTCTCGGTACAAAGAGATAAACTAATTGCAAGTATACGGTTTCTTAAATGCTTGACGTGACGTCTTTACATATCCGATAACACTAATTAGGTTAACATCGTTTGGTCACTCGGAAACGTGTTCCGAGAAGCATAGGCTACCGTATGCTTATTGATTAATGAGAAAAATTCGATTGCACGCTCTGTTTTGCCAAGACTAGTTCCATTTTCTCCATTCGTTCTGGACAATTTCCTGAAGTCTCTTTATCTCTTAATCCTCGATTGATGAGCATCTTATAAATGAAATCGCGATATTTGAATACAAATCGTTGGATGGTAATTAAGTGAATTAAACGAGACGAGACTTTGCTCGTTTTAGCCGATTAATTCTCGACCTTTGGATCATCAAACAAGATGGATCTCGAGTTCGAAGTCGCATTTGTTTGCGTTGTTGCAATACATTTCATGTGAACTCGTAAAACGTAATGACTCGTAACATCTTCGTTCACACATAAACAACTGTACGCGTTTCCCACGATTGTGTAATCACGTTCCGCCTAGTTTTCTTCCCCTAACACGTCGCAGTGCTTCTTGCAGGTATAAAAGCCCGTGACGTAAACACCTGACAACTCGTTTTCGAAAGATGATAAACAACGATTAGATCGAGCAGCGACTAGACGGAAAACACGAGCAAATGGGATCGAAAGAAAGGTTATTTTGCGCGGCCGAAATTGTTCGGAGGAACTGTCCGAAAGATTCGCTTCGAAAACATAAGGATAACACACGTACAAGTATTTTTTAACGATGCGAAAGAGGAATAAAGGCGTGTTAACGACAAATATAGAACACGCGCACCAATGAAATTTGCATATTTAATGCATAAGTAGGTACTTGCATGAGTGGAGAAACCGGAGTAAACTGCCGATCTCATCGTTCGGCCAACGAATCGACTAAAAACGAATAAAAATGGAATCGAATACGCGGACGAGGTGACGCGAGAAAAATATGAAGAAGAACCAAAGATGTTTTTCATTCAAACACTGTTTACGATAAACTATGCCTTGAAAAAGTTCAACCGCACTTTGAACACATTCGAAAAGCTGATTTTTCGCGAAGATGCGCGTAAAAAGAGATTTCGCAAGAAACGATGTCGTCAATTTCTTTCTTTAATCCGCGCATTTTCCGCGTCTCATGATTTCATGCCGTTTACGACTGCTGATTTACGTTTATAATAATTCATATTTATATAAATCATATTCCCGAGAATTTCTTGTAGTAAACACTTCCACTCGGTTTTTACGAATCATCGATTCAACTGCGCAATACGGTATAAAAACAGGCGATGTCCCAGCCATGCAAGACTCAACTTTGTGCCTTTCGCAGGCACGAAATATCGATCCCGCGAATATTTAAATCTCTTGCGATTGTGTACGAAATGAATTCGACTGACGAAAAGTTGCTTTTGAAAGGAAAGAAAGTTGCGGAGCGTCGAGTGACGAAGTAACGAGCGCGGGGATCGTAGCGAACTCGCCGCTTGAAGGACTCCCGCGGCAATGTCGACTAGGACAAAAATGAGGCACGTGTCCGGAGCCCGTGGCAACTCCAGCCGCTCATTTGCATGACGAATTTCTCGTTTTGCGGATCGAAGAAACGGATGAAATCGTGGTATTTCCACCGTCGACCAAGATGCACGAGATACGCGCCGATTTCGGCGGTAGAGTCGAGATTTACGCGTACCTGCTCGCCACTTGGTCAGGAAAGGCCGTGGACGCGGACAAAAAGTGAATGGCCGACTGAACCCTTTCACGAAATCCCGACAAGGAACGACGCAACGTCCAAGGTGCTCGATGGATCGTAAATACCGACCGGTCCGTCCATTTCATCGCGGAAGCTCAGGCTGATGTATCGCTTATTTCTCGACAGAAATTCCCGGGGAACCCGAGGAGCAAGGACGAAAGAACGAATTGGAATAAGAGGAGATGACGAAACGAAACGTATGTTTCTTATTTAGTCGGTGAGGCTGAGACGAGGAAGAAAGTTTGATTCGACCTTGCATACTCAACGAACCACTTTTGTAAAGAGGTGAAAATGATTTTAACGAGCGTTATTAGGAAATTACAGCTACGGCATATCATTCATATCTATAGAATTACGAATTAGAAATTTATCTTACCATGTATCGTACCTTCTACCGCATAGAGATTCTTTGAACGAAATTACCAGAGAAGTAACAGATCGATCGTTGAATTCCACGGTTCTCCACTGGCAACGGCCCAGCCGAAAAACTTGGAACGTGTATCCAGCGAACAAAGTTCATCGCGTGTCCACAGAAGAAATTCATCTGGCCATTAATGGTACTTCAACTGCGTCCGTGACATAGTTAACGCGATTACGTAAAATAACAGCTCCCTAATCCTCCCGTACGCGACCAGTTCCTCGAAATCCCGTGTCAAGATTTAATTACAGTCCCAATGTCAGCTTCAGCGAACGATGATCGCCGTAAATATGCGACCAATTCAACCTCCCTTGACTTTTTCACTTTACGTTCTCCGGATCACGTGTATGTCTGGTCAAGTGGCTACGTACGCCGAATCTTGACCGAGGTGTATAATTAACGATAACAACCGTGGCAACGGTGAAAGTTGCGACTTCTCGATGGAATCATTGTTGTCCAGTGTAAACGACGTTGACCGCAACAGTGAGTTTTTGGTTTTCGATGAATTTTCAATGTAAATCTCAATTCGGATCACGTCAAGACGTAAATCTTCGTATCGTGATTAACAACCGCGAATTTAATTATCGGACAATGATAAATCGATTACAAAATTGTGTCGGTACAACTGTGACTGGTGGTACATATCTCTACCAGGACTGATACAAACTGACCTTAATCCACTGCGCCAGAACTGGGAGAAAGCTATAATCGCATAACTCGCCGCAAGATACATTCCTTATCGCTGCAACGATTTATCTTGACATCTGGAACCCAAAGACCGAGCAAGTGAAACATCAAGTGACTTGAACGCGTGTCACTCGCGTAACCCTCGCGATACTATTTGACCCCCAATCTACGTGAGAAATACCGTAAGAGAACATACTCCGAGCGTAATAAATAAGCACCATGAAGGAAATAAAAGTTACAAAACACGGTCGACGCGTAAAAAATATGACTGGCGAATATTTGGAAGGTACTCGATCGATGATCAAAGGTCAACGAACAGTCGCACCAGCTACGACGTAACCTTTTAACGATTGACTATTAATTCACGTCTGTCAATCGGTGTAATTAACGTCCATCAAAGCACAAGTTCACTAAGATAAACACATTTGCTCTAATAAGGAAATAAACAACACGATCCCGGTAACATCTTTCCGATTGACCGGAGTTTCCAGGTAAGACGCGCGTAATACACTTTTTACCCCGTAATTTAAATATCGAACGTTTCGCTTTTTACAGTTTCTATGTCGCGCTAGATAAATGTCAAATTTCTTGTTGCAAAGGGAAAAGAAAAGGTATAATTACACCGCGAGGAAAGAACGAACGGAAAGCAGGATCCTGGAAAGTTCATAGACCATCGGAATCCAAAGTCCTCTCGAAACGAAACACGTGACGATGAAGTAAGAGAGACAGGGAAGTGAATGTGACGCGAAGTGATACCTCGGAGGCAGTGAGGGCGCGTTTCCAACAGGTGAACGAGACCTTGGCCGGAGGGTGTGTAGCAGGCCCAACACTGCTCCCTCTCCTCTCTCTCTCTCTCACCGTGTGCACGACGGGGACCGTGGTAGGAAGGGAGACCTTGACTCCCCAGTGGCATGGGATTTTCAGGCGATCACCTAAGGCCCATGCGCCCCCACCCCAACCGCCGCTCGGCCGAACCCCACTTGCTTAACCAATACTTAAACCGCGAGTTCGCTCCGCGGCGGACTATTCACGCAGCATCGACCGTTGGACCCACATTTCTGTATATACACGTGTCTTCACGCGGACTCGTGCACACGTTCGCAGCACAAAAAAAAAAAATAACACGCATGTGCCACCGCGGAAACGCGTGACCCGCGTCGAAACTGTGACCAAGTGTAAGCTTCCCTGCCCGTGGAACCGTCCGCTCGCCGCGTGTGATCGACGTGTGACCGTTTTTCCCAGGGGGAAGAACTCAGCGGAGAACAGGGTGCTAGTGAACCGAGTGCTGAATTCGAGGTCTGATCAGTGTCGACAGTCGAGGAAGAAAGTCTGCAACCCCTTTTGCTCAGAGGAGAAACAAGCTCGCTGCCCTTTCTGGATCGATAGGCTGAAGCAGTTGGCCAAATCGATCTGATTTTACAGAGAGGAGAGCTTCGCGAAGGAGTTAGAAATTGCTCGATATCGAGGTCGATCCGCAGTGGAGACTCAGCTGAAGTGAAGTGGGCACAATTTTACTTGCAAGCGCGGCGTCCTTTTCGTCCGTGAACAGGTATGTACGAAGAGTGATCAGAAATCACAATCTCCGCGTTCTTTTCTTAATTACTGTCTCGAAGAAGATCGCGTTGCAAAAGAAAGATCGCAGATCGTCACAGGACATTTCGGATTTTGTTAACGAGGCTTGAAAGCCCCGGGACACTAATTTACCAAACGTTGGCTAATTAGACTCGATTTATCGTTTAAAATTCAATAGTCGGACTAATTGCACGCCTATTAGGATGTTGCTCGGTTGGTGTTCCAAATAATACTGGGCTCTGCTATAGGCGGAGCTGAATTTGAAAGTAGGAATTGGCGAACTATGGAGACTTGTAATTGGTCGTAACCAGCGGTGGCACGATGAGGTGTCAGTTTTTTGGGAATACCTGGTGAAAAGAGAGATCGGACGACTGATAAGGAAAAGACTGGTTCGGTAATTAGGAAATTCGTTACAATGGGTTACGACGCCGTGTGCAAACTGGGTTTATGCAGGAGCAAGCGTCACAGATTATCCTCCAGGCCTGTTTGCAATTACCTCTTTTTTTTCAGTAAATACTCCAGAGGAATCGATCGACGATATTTGCAACTAGACTATCAAAAAGTGACAACACACGGGACGTTTTAACCGTGATTGACTTGATCCTCCGTTCACTTTAACGATCGTAAGAGTGGAGAAGAGAGTACGAGGAGGTCTCGCAGATAGTTTGCACCACAGTTTAAGCTAATTAAACGGCGCTTGGAGCATTAAAGCAAATCAGAAATAGGAATACTGACTCTAGCGGGCGTCTATCGGTGTAATCTGTTTGACAGGAAGCAATGAGACAAATGTAACTGGTTTACGCGTATCATCTCGCTCGATTAACGTTTAATCCGTGCACTCTCTTACTTTCTCTAATACTTCTCGTGGTAATTTCTCGTGTTACAGCTTATTCTGCAACGCGATAAGAGGCGTTTTAATTAAGTGCAATCGACAATTTTAATTCGATTCGAAGGAAAATCGGGAACACGCGTACTGCGTATGCTAATTAGAAGAAAAGGATGTTTACCAATTCAGCAAATTAAAATTTCGAAAAAGTTGCAAAAATATTCTCGGCAGTTGTGTGATACTGCTTCTCGAGAAAGTAACGGGAAACGTATTACGATAGAGGGATGGCTCGTTTCGAGCACCTAACGTTGCCCAATCCTCCTTTCTGCTTTCGCAAGTAGAATACGTTCCTAAATGATCAGACGCAAAGCGAAACCACCCTGCAGAACACCTAACCGATCGAATTTCACATATCCAACTAATTGTCCGTCCGAAACAAGCCACTTTCTCAATTTCTAGCCATTTCATAATAAAAAGATCCTACCAACGGCTACACTCGAAAGTGTAATCTCGATTCTGCAACCAGCCGAAACATTCGGTCTGCGCGATGCTTGCAGAATACATATTTGCGTGGTGAGAAACGAGTTCATTTTTTACAATTAATCATAGAAACACGAGTCGGGCAGTGGAACAACGAATTACAGAAATCTCGGCCCGTAAATCTGTCTTATCCGTGTTAATCTTGTACGCGAAATAGTATATCGTATTCTCCGGAAAATCGTACGTATTGTCGTACTCTAATCGTCTCTAAATTAGCGAACAACGTATATAACCAACATGAAACCACAAACGACGCAATTGTGAGGAAGAAAAAGGAGAAGGATTAAACGAAGTTTTCCTTATTCGACGAAAACGCATCGACACGAGGTGTGTTGCGCAGTTTGTAAATGGAACGACGAAGACACGGCCGTAAGTTGAATCACAATATGCAACAGGCAGGAGAAAATGATACGAAAATACGCGGCGGGCGTATCCCGTCGTCCACAAATTCGTTTCGTCGCGTTCGAAAATTACAGCTGAACGAGTTTCGAACGAGAAAAAGGCGCGCATCCCGTGGCACGGAAAAGTGTGCCACGCGCGCATTATAAGGTTCGCAGCGATTCGAGAGGAATGCCAAAGGAAAAAAGCTGTCTGACCCCTTTTTACATCCACTTACAATTAAAGGAACTTCTACTCGCGGAAACGAGTTTTATCATAGACACACCGGGCCTTATCACGTCGAAAGCTCGGCCGCTACGTGCCATCGACTTCTTGCCTCCAGGTCGGTTGCATTAAGGAGAAATTCGCTCATAAACAATGCGGTACATATAAGAACAAATAATTTTCTCCTACTCTTCGTTAGTTGTTTTTCTCGTTTTCTTCTTCATTCTCCATTAGAGAAAATGCTACTCATTGTTCGTAATCAATTTCTACGATTATGAAAGTGACCTAACACATATTTCCATATTCCATACTTTCACATTATCTTCGTAAACGTGCGTTAGTTTACTAAGAAATGGGAACAGAATTTCGTGAAATGTTAATGCACGCGAATTTCTCCAAAGTGGCCGAGAGAGAGAGAGATAAATCGCCGCGGGATTATCTCCCGCGCACAGGATGTGAAACTTTTCTCAAACATTGTTCAATTAAGATCAAGGCGAATCGGCTCCAAGGTGATTAATCGCTTCGAAACGAGCATCATTACGCCCGAACCTACGAATTTCCAGTGAAACGTCTCTAACGCGTTGCAAGTTAATCTTCTATTGAGCCTGAAACACGCTTTTCTCTCGCGCTTCGAATCTCTTTGACATTCTCGCCTCCCTCCTACGCGACGTTTCCTTTTACGATCTGAAAAAGTGCAATGCGTAAAATCGTCGAATTACGTTCTCACTGTTACACAGGAGTATTCATATTTTTCCACGCAGTCCTGCATCGCGCTCACTCGAAATGAACTCTATTAATCTCGGGCTTGTAGCACCGGTAACAGTTCCATTTCACAAGTACTCGACGCATATGGTTAAGACTAATTTATTTGCTAAGCGACTCTACACCGGCTACCGTATAATTTACTCTGTGGTAATAAAAGACCTTTGACTTTTACCATTAATCGGGGGGGGAATAAAAGTACATTAGAATCTCAATAATCGTGTAATTAGCGAGCTAATGTTCGCATGCTTGTTCGACGTCTTGGCGTAATGATAGACTCTCGATAGAGAACCTAAGTTTTCGACGAGGTTTCACACAGAACTTCGTACCTGGTCCCTTTTATTTCTTTCTTTTTACCCGCATGGTCAACTACCTGGCATCGTGTAACCACGCGGAATTATGTCCGTGCACGTGAAACGCGTCGCGTTACGTAAGATCACCTGGACGAAAAGCCGTGTAAATAATCGGCACAAGGTCGATGGAGCATTATCTGACAAGCTGGATTCTCGTGTTATGGGGCTTTCACGACATTCGGTTGAAAAAGTGGACTGAGTCCTTCGTCATCTCGGCTGTACGTCATCTAAATCGCTGTGCGTGTGAATTACTAGTTCGACTATCTAGTCTCGATCTACTTCTTTAAGAGGCGGGGAAAGTAAGATACTACTCATTTATCGAGGAATTATTCTTCCAAATATATATTCATATATGTGTATAAAAATATTGTTTCATAGAAAGTTTAGATTTTTTCACTTGTGGGATATTCAGGTTTATCTCTATTGCAACGCCATTTTGAACATCAGCAGTGTTGATTTGCCCAAATGTTCTAAGAGCGTCTTTAAGCAATTTATTTTCCATTACAGTTGACCCTGAGACATCTTCATTTAGGTCACTGTAATCAGCTTCAATCACTCTGTCAGAATATAAGTAAGCGTCTCCATAAGTGTCTCCATCGTCTAAAAATCTCCACTTCCGCTGACGAAAAAATTACCGACATCAGATCGCACAAGTTTGATCCGGTGCATTTTTTTCTACCGTCGAAAACAAGCGACTTATTCCGGTGAGACTGTCCCAGGCTGCATAAAAATCTTCGATATCGGGGTGATTTATGGAAGACATTTACTTCGATAAAACTGTATTCCTCAAAGCGAGAAGTCTGAAATTTACGATATCGACGTGTCCGTGTAATTCGTCGTTAATATTCGCAAAAGGAAGATGCAAAGGCAGCTACTGACGATGCTGCGAGATCCTCGAAAGTCCAAAGTAATTCTTGTGCAACTGCCTTCCGAAGGTTAAATTGCACCACGGACCCGATCGACCTTGACAGGTAGCAGACCTCGTAGCCAAAGTCAGACGAATCTGCTTGGCGACCTTAGCCGATAAAGGAGCTTTCACGTCGACTAGAAAGCGAACAGGGCGAATTTTAGCGAAACTCGGACTGGCGTTGATTCTGAAATACGATCGACGACCAAATACGAGGATAACTAGACGGAAATTTTGCTATCCGGTGTGATTAAATCTCCGCGCAAGAAGGCGAAACTTCGACCGGCTGGAAAACACATTTACGATGTTTCTAACAACTGGACACCGGCTGATTGGCGATAAAACACGAGAAAACGAACTCGCGGTGAAAATACACGTGCAAAAAGGGCCATTTTTCGTTGGAGCTGCTTTCTTCGCTGCTGCGGAACCTGCTCCCGTTCGAGGGCCGAAATTACCATAATAAATTCACTGAAATTCCTGCATCGATTACTCGATCGTGTAAACAAGCAGCAGCGCTGAAGAAAAGTGCTCATCTGTTACTTGAACAATCAAGTGAGAAAGATAAACAAATCGTAGAAGGTTGAAGTTGTAGAGACGAGTGTCTTTCAGGTTCACGATCAAAGAAACTCATTAGAATCTTTATCTAGATAAATTTATCCTTTCGCTACGGTGCTCGTTGATTCCTTCGCGATCGATTCTTGTTCAAGGCGAACACCTTCGTGTCTTAGAAATATAGCGAGCACAGAGAAAGGGCCACTGACACGCGGATCGAGGTGTAAGAATTTGTCAAAAATGATCAGCTGAGGATGAAACGCGATGGTAGACGACGGTAGTCGGAACTTTCTTCAAACTGGCATGCTTTCTTGCAGAAGAATGCGCCTCGTACCCAATGGAACCTCTAGAAAACGTATCGAAGCTTCTACGACAATCGAGGACGTTGTAAAACCAATACCGTTCCGTCAAACCGGAAATCGTGAGACGAAAGT